TATTTCAAAATGCTAAAATTCATATTTTTTCTTTTTTTTTTCTCTCTCTCTTCTTTTTCTTTTTCCAAAACAGCTAGAACAGTTGAAATACTTCCTTTTGCTAAGCTACATGAAAGAGCCTTCATTCAGACCCCAATGGATCACCAAGGAAAGGAGGGACTGGAAGGGAAGAAAAGGGAAGAGAAGGGAAGAGAGGACTTACTCAGAGTACCCTTTCCAGTCCTCTCAAGTAATGTGATTTCCACATTACAAATGGGGCAAGAGGTCAGAGTGGCTAAATTCTCGTCCTAGATCTTATTTCTCAATTTGGAGAAGTCCAATACATTAACACTGTCTCAATTTCTCATCTCATTATTGTTTCCTAAAATCTCCTGTTTCTCCTTTATTCCTGATTTTAGATAATAGAGCTATTATCTGCTTACCCATTCCAGAAGCTCAGTAGTCATATTGCATTCTTCCCTGTCTCTCACCCCATACTTAATTAGGTCACTGCTTCCAGCTAATTCTGCTTCTTCAGTAGCTTTACCCTCCTCCCATTCCCACTGCTGATACCAAAGTCTGGGCTTAAATGCTCTTTGCTTGGACTATTTCAATAGTCTCCTTGCTAATATCTGTGCTTCCAATTTCTCCCACTTCAATCTTGCCCCAACATGGTTGTTTTGTCTTTGTGATATTTCTGAATGGCAAATCTGACCATATCCCTCCTCTTTAATGCACTCCCTTTTGCCCTCAAATAAAAGTCCCTTGCCAACTGTATCAGGATTTTCATGATTTACGCCTCACGTCCTCTGCCGTGTTATCTCCCTTTGTTCTGTCATATACAGCCTACACACCAGCCATACTGAATTACTTACAGATTCTTGAAGAGTCATGGGTTTTGATGCCTCCATGCCTCTGTCAAGAGTCCCTGGGTGGTGCAAACGGTGTAAGTGCGAGGCTGCTAACTGAAAGGTTGGCAGTTTGAGTCCACCCAGAGGCATCTTGGAAGAAAGGCCTGGTGATCTACTTCAAAACATCAGCGATTGAAAAGTCTATGGAGCACAGTTCTGTCCTGATACACGTGGGGTCACCATGAATCAGAATTGACTTGATGGCAACTGTATTTTTTTTTTTTAATACTTCCGCTAGTATTCTTTTTTCTACCTGGAATGTTTATCTCTTACAAGCTGAACTCCTTCTCTCTTTCAAGATCTAACTCAAGTTTCTACTCCTCTTTTGTTTTCCCTTACCCACTTTTGAAAGTGTTGATCACAACCTCTTTTCTACTTTTCCACCTTATACATATAACATTTACCACACCATGTTGCAATTATTTGGTTTTATATTTGACTAAATTACTTGACTGTAATTTCTTTGATTTTACAAAGATTTTATCTTGCTGTTTTTGCGTTCATAGTGTCTAGTTCTGAGCACATTTCTTTTCAATTTTTTAAATTGTGCTTTAAGTGTAAGTTTACAATTCAAGTCAGCTTCTCATACAAAACCTTATATACACATTGTTACATGACCCCAGTTGCTCTCCCTGTACTGTGACAGCACGCTCCTCCTTTCCACCCTGTTTTTCCTATGTCCCTTCAACCAGCTCCTGTCCCTTTCTGCCTTCTTATCTCGTCTCCAGACAGGAGCTACCCATCTAGTCTCATGTATCAACCTGAGCCAAGAAGCATACTCTTCATGAGTATCATTTTATGTCTTATAGTCCAGTCTAATCTTTGTCTGAAGAGTTAGCCTCAGGATTGGTTTCAGTTTTGGACTAACAGAGTCCAGGAGGCCATGTCTTACAGGGTCCCTCCAGTCTCAATCAAACCATTAAGTCTGGTCTTTTTACTAGAGTTTGAGTTCTGGTCCCTACTTTTCTCCTGCTCCGTCAGGAACTCTCTGTTGTGTTCCCTGTCAGGGCAGTCATTGGTAGTAGCCGGACACCATCTAGTTCTTCCGGTCTCAGGCTGATGGAGTCTCTAGTTTATGTGGCCTTTTCTGCCTCTTCGGCTAATATTTTCCTTATGTCTTTGGTATTCTTCATTCTCCTTTGCTCCAAGTGGGTTGGGACCAATTGATGCATCTTAGATGGTCGCTTACTAGTTTTTAAGACTCCAGATGCCACTCACCACAGTGGGATGAAGAACATTTTCTTAATAAACTTTGTTATGCCAATTGACCTAGATGTCCCCTGAAACCATGGTCTGCAGACCTCCACTCCTCCTACTCTGTTCCTCAAAGTGTTTGACTGTATTCAGGAAATTTCTTAGCTTTTGGTTTAGTCCAGTTGTACTGACTTCCCCTGTAGTGTGTGTTGTCCTTCCCTTTACCTAAGATAATTCTTGTCTACAATCTATCTAAGCACTTTTTTATTGAATGGATTTGTTATTTCCTTAAGAGTCTTTGTTAATTAGAAAATATTTTAACTAAAACAAAATGGATGAAAGAGATGTATGTCACTGGGGATAGCAACTGAACTTGCTTGTTTCATTATTAGAGCAGGTAGGCAGGAAAAGCTTTAGTTGCTAATTGGAAGATAGTTTAGAATGAACTTGCAAGTAGATTCAATAAACACTCAGTCTTGCACTTTTTCTTTTGCAGTTACCATTACCTTTCTCTACCCTTAAAAGCAGTCACTGAGGTTTGAGAGGGCTAACTAATTGCCCTTCCCCCTATGGGTTCTGAACAGGAATACCATAGGAATTATAATATTAGCAGACACAAATTAAATTATCAGCTTTATTCCAGGTAAACCTGGATTGGTGAATGCAGCTGAGATTTATTTACTTGCCAAGTCAGACTTCCTACCTAACTTCTCCCTTGGATTTGGCTGATCTGTCCAGCCTTAGAAAGTTCTGGGCAACAGAAGCTGAACTTGAGCTGGTAGGATTTCTGCATGGAAAAACAACTGTTGGGCATCTATCCTTAGCAGTATTGTCACGAAGTGGAGGAATATGGAACAATGACATCCATAGGTGGTGCGAATGGCTTGCGTTAGACTGCTAACCTAAAGTTTGGGAGTCCAAATCCACCTAGTGGTACTGTGGAAGAAAAGGCCCACTTTTTCTGAGGATCTACTTCCATTAATATTACAAACAAGAAAAATAGAGCACAGCTCTTTGTAACATATAGGGTCGCCACGAGTCAGAATCGACTTGACAGCAACTAACAACACGTCACACTCTCAGAATCTCACCAGAGGGGCTAGTTAGTGGTAGGAAAGTGCTCTCTTTAATAGTACTGAAAGGGTTAAAGTTCCTATTTAATGGGTCATAGGAGGGAGAATGGTCCTTTCTGGCATAAAAATAAAAGAGAATGCCACAGTCAGGAGGCAACAGTGTAAAATGAACACATATTGTTACAGAATGATTTTCTTGACGTGAGAGATGGTCTTCTTAGAACTAACATTCTGAGTCTATAGTGACCAAGCAATGGTCAAGAGCATCCTAGTTTGGTGCTCCTCGGACTTTAATGTGCACACAAATCATCTAATTCAGTCTCAGGTGATTTAAGATGCTGCATTTCTAACAATGCTAACAGTGATGCTGATGAGTGAATAGCAAAGAAAAAGCAAAGGTGTCATTTTGAAAAAGTACAAGTGTCAAGGACAGATCAGTCACTTAAACCCAGAGTCCTGGGAACTCAGATATCTTCGTTCAAAAAATTCCCCTTTTCATGGATGGGGTCTATAACTCCTAAGTAAAATAGTATGATTCTGTTTGCTTTCTTTTACCTAACATTTTTCATTTCATCATGTTGATGGCTAGATCAATAAATGCTCCCCACACTAAGGACAAAGTTGTTAAATATCATCGAGGCTTAATGAAAAGGAATCAACTTGACACCTAGGTGTGAGTGCTCTGATGGCAAGAGTAACAACTTGTGAGTTACTATGGATTATGAAGGATTCATTTTTCCTGCCATTTATACGAGGGCTCTGGACCATGTCATCTGAACCATGGTAAATCTGTAATTGCACATCTTGATGACAGTAAAGATCAGTGACCTGGATGCATCTAAAACTTATGCTGCCTGTACAGAGTGGTTTGTGCTGCCCATGCCTGATTCTGCACGCCTGGACCTTTCTGACATCCCTTCCAGCCCTTGGAGTTTATGATCCAGATAATGCCTCCATTGCAACTGACCTAAAAAAAAATCCATTGCTGGGCTCTGACCCATATTTTATTAACCCATAATTAGATTTATTCCGCTCTGGCTTAATTTATTTCAGGCCTGTGGGTTTGCATTCTTTTTCATTGCTAAGCTAAGTGCACTCCCTGAAGTAGTAATATATTTATAATTTGACCAGCTCTATGAATTATATAATGACAAAGAAGAACAAAATAAAAGAGAAAGTCATGGTCAGGAGGCAACAGAGTAAAATGAATACGTCATATTTTTACAGAATGATTTTCTTGATGAGAGAGATGGTCTTCTTAGAACTAACATTCTTTAGTGATGCTCTGATTCTACAGTGACCGAACAAAGGTCAAGAGTGTCCCAGTTTGGTGCTTTTCAGCTTAAACGTGCACACGAGTCACATGATTCAGTCTCAGGTGACTTAAGATTCTGCATTTCTAACGGGCTCCCAGGTGATGCTGATGAGTGAATAGCAAGAAAAAAGCAAAGGTGTCACGTTGATGATTACGGTGTGCCGGACCCAAGCCATGGTCTTTTCAGTTGCCTCATATGCATGGGAAAGCTGGACAACAAAAAAGGAAGATCAAAAGAGAATTGACACATTTCAATTGTGGTATTGGTGAAGAATATTGAATATACCACAGAGTGGCAGAAGAATCAACAAATCAGTCTTGGAGAAAGTGCAGCTAGAATGCCCCTTAGAAGTGAGGATGGAGAGACTTCATCTTGCTTACTTTGAGCACGTCATCAGGAAAGATCGATTGCTAGAAAAGGATATCATGTTTGGTAAAGGGGAGGGTCAGCAAAAAAGAGGGAAACCCTCCGTGAGATGGATTGACATGGTGGCTGTAACAATGGGCTCAAACATATGAATGATTGGGAGGATGGTACAGGACTGGGCAATGTTTCTTTCTATGATACATAAGGTCAGCATGAGTCAGAGGTGACTTGACAGCAACTAATAACAACAACACGGTACCAAATCAAAACACCAGCTCCCAACTCATCACAATTAATTTTATTCCACAGCATAGTTAAGGGAATGTTATTCTAGGGGAGATGCTTGGGATTAAAATAATTAAAAAAACAAACTGGAAAGTATGCACATTTATGTATCTCTTCTTTTCATTAAATATATATCTGTTTGGCAAAAAAAAGTTAGACTCTTTTGTACAAAAACAAAGCAAAAAAAAAAAACAAAAACAAAAACAAAAACCAACCCCAAACCCTTGCAGATTGTAAATACCTGTAATAATTACAGTGATGTAAACGTGGATGTCTGACAGCTTGCCCATCCTGTGGACCTGTGTTGCAGCAGGACCCCCCAGGGGAAGGTAACACCAAACCCTTGATAGCAACAGCCCATCATAGAGGCATTTAGGTTTAGTATATTAGAGACGGAACATGATTACTGATGTTACCATTTGTGCTTTCAGCTAAGGGACAGGGAGCATGTGCGGAAACGAAGAAGACAGGTCTGGGCTGGGGTAGGGAGAGGAGGCCCAAGACTAGGTAGCAAGGAGGGAAGGTTGGGCACAGTCACAGTACAGACACGAGTGGACTGTGTGTTTGAGGACCCAGGGCTGGCAAAGACTACGATGAGGGCTATGATGAGACCAAAGACGAACAGGGCGAGGCAAAGCTGAGAAGGGTGGTGGTGGGGGATTTGAAAGCAGATCTCAATTCAAATGGAACTGGCTGTGTGAACTGACTCTAGAAAGAAGGGGAAGGGGGAGGTGGTATATGGTCTTCTCAAGGAGCTAGGCCGTTTTCTTCTAGGACAGGCCTTGGAGCACTCTCTTGGTCTGGTGGTCAAGCCTCAGGCAGTCTGTTGCTGCTGGCTTTCCTACTCCAGGGAGGGAGGACACACCTGCCTTTGGAAGATGAGGATGCAAGGGCCCTTGGGCTCCAGTATTGGCGGTGGGTTTTGCTCTTTTCCCACCCGTGGACTGCAGCCATGGGAAGTGACCTAAAGCAATGAAGTCTAGAAACAGAATCAGCAAAGGGAGCAAGGCTCCATGTAGGGGCAGAAAATTTCTGGGGCTAGAGGTGAGGCCAAAGAAAGTGTTAACCCACAGCTTCCCTTTCCCCAAAGAGGATTCCAAGGCCTGGGCGGGTTTTCATTCCTCTCTCCCGTTAGCTAGGTTTTCCAGTTTTGGAGGGGGCACTTCCGGCCTGGCCACTTCAGTTACAGTCATAGACGAAGTCATAGTTGCTGGGCTCCTTGGGGATTGGGGGCGGGGCGTCGGGGATCTGAATGTTTTCGAGGTCCAGGAGGCGGAGCTTGATTTCCATGCTGAGCAGGGTGTCCAAGTCATTCCGGGTCAGGTCGCTCATCATGTCTTTTCCCAGCAGCGCATTTAGCCCATCTGTCCAGATACAGTACTGGTGGGAAAGCAGATGGCAATGACAATTATTGACAGTAATGATAAAAGTAACAAACATAGCTAACACTGATTGAATATGCAGCATTGGTTAGCCTTTGTAAGACGTGCTTTGTGTACATCATCATTTAATCTTCACAATAACTCTATAAAGTTGACAGTTTTGACACATCTCTGTTTTACAGATGGGGAAACTGAGACATAGAGAAGCTAAGTAGCTTGGTAGCATGTGGAGTTGGTGGGATTTAAACCCAGGTGATCTGCCTCCATTGCCTGGGCTCTTCTCTGTAGAGAACCTCTCCTTAAGTGTCAGCAGGAGGACTTGACTTCGCCATGATTGTGCATCATCCGTCAAGTTCTTCTGGGCTCTTACCCCCTAGATGTCTCTAACATCCCACCAGTGAGTCTGTGATTTTAAGGGACTGGTGGATATATCCCAACATTCCTGGACTCAGCATCAAGTTAAGCTTCCTCTTTTCTGACTTCAGTCATGGCTCCAGGTGCAGTAGTTAATTTCTCCTGTCCTATCCGATTCCCAGCATGAATGATGACAGCCCCACCCTTGAAGCTCTATCACTGCAATTCTCAGCAAAAACGGCTGGGAAATAGCCTTTTGCTGTCCAGTGTGTGGCAGCCAAAATGGCTTAACTTATTGCGTGAAGCTAATGGGAGGTGGCTTGGTTACTTTTCTGGGGACCTCTTCCTCTTGGGTCTCCTGCTCCCAGGGTTTCTCTCCGCCAGGTCTCTGTGGCCTGGACCGTGGTGACATCACCTGTTTTGGAACGCCCTGAATACCCAACTCAGATTTTGTCTCTCCAGGAGATTATGAATTCCTTGAAGGAAGGAACTGTGCCTATTTTCTGAGGATTTTCCTTGCTCTTGTCAGCTTCCCTTCCAGAAGCTAGAGTCCTGTCCTGATCTGGTAACAGAGCCACGATACCTGGTGAAACAGCTACCCTCTGGGGCCAGCATCTCAGAAAACTGCATGCTTTCTGGATGCTGTGCTCTGCTCACTTGTTAGGATGCCCCTAATCCTAGAGAGGACCTTTATGATAGCACTTTCTCTGTTCTTTCTGTCATAATGGTCTTCCGTTTAGGAGTTCCTGTGTGGTGCAAACAGTTAATGTGGCGGCTGATAATATAAAGGTTGGAGGTTCGAGTTCACCCAGAGGTACCTCGGAAGAAAGGCCCAGTGATCTACTTCTGAAAAATCAGCCATTGAAAACCCTATGGAGTACAGTTCTACTCTGAAACACATAGGGGTTACCAGGAGTTGGAACTGACTCGATGGCAACTGAATTTTTGGAGTGGTCTTCCTTCTAGCATGCTCTCTAGATCGCCCCCCTCTCCCATCCCCAGGAGGTCAAGATGCAATTCCAGATCCTACTTAGCCTGTCCTTTGCACTGTGGTTACTTGGGCCACGTTCTAGAATATAATAGCAGATCTCAATATAACAGTACTAAAAGATGGCAAGCACTATGTAAACCTTAAGTCATAATGTGATGGAACTCTACCATGATGCCCATTAGGAACACTACTTTATAAGCTGATAGGGTGCAAAATGGGTGGTATTATGAGACCCCTGCCTGGGCAGTAGGAGCCCTGGTGGTGCAGTGGTTAAGTGTTTGGCTGCTAACCAGAAGGTCAGCAGTTTGAACCCACCAGCTGCTCTGTGGGAGAAAGATGTGGCAGTCTGCTTCTGTAAAGATTTACAGCCTTGGAAACCCTGTGGGGCAGGTCTAATCTGTCCTATAGGGTCGCTGTGAGTCAGAATCGACTTGACGGCAATGGCTTTTTTTGGGCACCCTGGTAGTGCGGCATTGAACCGTAAGCCTCAGGATCTTCCTTGGCTATGTGGTCTCACCCAAATATTTTAACCCATTTAAACACCAAGGTAGTGTTAACGGAAGATTAGTGTTCTCATAAATACCTTAGCCAGATTCTGAACACATCTAAACATCCATTTCCTCATAAATACCCTTGATAAAAATAGATATGTAAGCCCTACCCTAGAGATTCTCATGTTGAAGATCTTGGGTGAGGAAATTTATTTAGAAAGTTTCTCATCTAATTCTGATGCACATCTGGGTATGGGAGCCATGAACTCTACCATTTAAGGCCCCTTCCAGCTCTGATATTGTTTCATCGTAAATCCCTCAGTATCAGGGACTACCGCTCTTTGCACGCAGCCTTTCTAGCCTTGATGAGCTTCCTAGAACAGATTAATTTAACCTGCAGAAACATTTCTATGGTGCTTTTCTTTTGAGAAGCAGCAGGCACAGAAAACTTTGTAAAAAAGTACATCGGCCAGTAAATAAAAACCCTGTAGTACTGAATTGGAATTGAAAGTACTAGTATGAATTCATGATATGTTTTAGCTTTAAAAAAATCATAACCTCTACCTCTATCCACAAAAAGACCTAAAAATAATGACCAACCAAGTAATAATAAGCATATTTAGCGCCCAGGTGTGGTCGCTAAATACCATTTCCTACTAAAATCAGCCAATGAACACCCTACTGGTCACAACAAAACACTGTATGATCTGCAACTGATGATGAGGATGTTGCGGGACTGGTAGCATTTTGTCCATTGTCCATGGGGTCCCTATGAGTAGGGGGTGACTCAATGGCAGCTAATAACAACTAAAGTAACCAAGCCTCCATGGAGCAAAAGCAGCAAATGTATACGATAAGCCTGGATCATCGTGTCATACCAGAAGGCCAGAAAGCTATCAAAGACAAAGGGGTCATGGCAACAGGACTCAGAAGCCAAAGCGAAGGCGTTCCTACTTGTGCAGGATAGGATAATTAGGACAATAACAATGCTAATAACAGCAACAGATTGAAACACAGATATGTTTAAATCCGTGACTTTATAATGAGACTCACATACCAAAAAAGCCTCATTGGTTTCCTTTGGAAGATGCTCATTATTTTAAAAACTGCCCTGGTGACACAGTGGTTAAGAGCTCAGCTGCTAACCAAAAGGTCAGCAGTTCAAATCCACCAGCTTGTCCTATAGGGTCGCTACGACTCGATGGCAATGGGTTTGGTTTTTTTTTTTTTTAATTCTATATAAACTGCTTTACTTTAAGGTAATCAAAGAGTTGATAAGGCAAGTTTCTCTTCATATAAGAATTCTGCTAATAAATGGAGAAGGAAAGATAGAATTAGGGTACCATCATTTAGCACCTTCTAACAGCCGCTCCTTGGAAACCCTATAGGGCAGTTCTATTCTGTCCTATAGGGTCGCTATGAGTCGGAATCGACTCGACTGCAACAGCTTTTTATTTTTTTATTTTTTATTTTTGGTTTAATGAATCAAAGGAGCCAAAGGACCTAGGTAATAATCATCAATGGCTGCTAACATTCTAAAAAGAGAGATAACCAGACACCATGAAAGTATTAAATACTTGCTAAAAAAAATGCAAATATTGCTAAAAAATTGATCATGAATCTGATCAAGCCTCTCACTACCAAATTATAGGGAATACAGAGGGTAAAGGAACATGTGAAATGATACTACAGGGTGTGGGAGTTAGGATAATTACCGCCCCCCACCACCAAAAGATGTCCATGTCCTAATCCCTGGAACCTGTGAATATGCTAGGTTACATGGCAAAGGGGAATTAAGGCTGCAGATGGAATTAAGGTTGCTCATCAGCTGACCTTAAGCTAGACAGAGTATCCTGGATTGTCCCGGTGGGCCCAATGTAATCACAGGTCCTTAAAAGTGGAAGAAGAGGACAAAAGAGGAGTCAGAGTTAGAGAACTGAGAGGCAGAAAGAAACCTGACTACGGAAAAGGAGGGTGGAGTGACGTGGTGTGAGAAGGACTTGGCCTAACACAGGGGGGGATTAACAAGTAAACAAGGTACGCACGGGTTTACTTGTGTTTACTTACTAATCTGTAGTGCACAATTCCACCTGGTTTTCACCACTGATGTACACTACATCACCTGATGTGCACTACAGATTAGTAAGTAAACACAAGTAAGCCTGTGCGTACCTTGCTTATTGGGTAATCCATCCCTGGCTAAAGTTGCCGACCTCGGAGATGGAAGAAGGCCGTGAGCCAAGGAATGTGGGTGGCCTCTAGAAGGTGGAAAAGGCAAAGAAATTGGTTCTTTCCTAGAGCCTCCAGAAAGGAACGCGGAACTGCCAATACCCTGATTTTAGCCCAGTGAGACCTGCTTCAGACTGCTCACCTCTCGAACTGGAAAATAATAAATCAGTGTTATTTTAAACTACTTAATCTGTGGTAATTTCTTGGAGCAGCAACAGTAAATGAATTACATAGTTATAATCAGCAAAATATAGACTACGGGCAATGTTACAGAACAAATGACCTGGTTTCTTCGCTAAATAAATTGCAAAGAAAGAAAGTATATGAGAGAGGGAGAGAGAAAAAAAGGAACATACAGATTAAAAAAACAAAAAAACTTAAGGAACATGCCAACCGATTGCAACATATTGATCTTACCTGGATTCAACCTGAACAAACAAACTACAAAATAAAAAATAAACGTGCTCAACACACAAATGAGACGATGGAAGAAATCTGAAAACAGACTGTATATGGTAGTATTAAAACATTATTAAGATTTTACGTGTAGTAATGACATTGTAGTTATGTATTTAAATCTCAGCTCATTACTTACTCACTGTGTGATCTTGGGCAAGTTCCATAACCTCTCTGTGCCTCATTTCCCTCTTTTATAAATGAGTTTAATATGAGTTTCTTTCTTTTAGGGTTATATAAGGAATAAGTGGGAGTGACATTTAATGGTGCTTGGCACAGAATAGGAGCCCTGATGGCGAAGTGGTTAAGAGCTACAGGAAGCTACAGCTATTAACCAAAAGGTCAGCAGTTTGAATCCACCAGCCCCCCGCTTGGAAACCCTATGGGGCAGTTCTATTCTGTCCTATAGGGTTGCTATAAGTTGGAATGGACTTGATGGCAATGGGTTTGGTTTGGATTGTTGAGGTAGTCAATTTGGGGAGGCCTCTCTCTCCTCATCTACAAATGAGAATTTCTGTAATAAAACTTTCTCTTTTATGGAGTGATTATGACAATAAAATGGCAATAGATATAAAAGTGGTATGAAGAAATTAAAAATGTTCATAATTGTAAGGCGTTTTTCTCCTCACGATATCTACTGGAAGTGGCAGATATGAATAAAAATTTGGCAACCCAAAGCATTTATCCTTATCTGGAATTAATGCACACCAGGGGAAACCAGCCTCGCAAAGACTAAAATAACGTGCATGGTTCTACCGTTTTAAATAGTTTTCTACACAGCTCTATCCATCCTGAACATGGTGACCTATGTACAACCACAATTTTATTTAGAAACAGAAACAGCAGGTCACAGTATCTATTTTCAGAAAGATGAAGACAAAGTCTTATCCCTTCTGCAAACTAAATGTCAAGTAAGACAGAATTATATTTAAGCACCATTCTAAATGCAGGATTGTGTTTAATCTTTCTTCTCTTTTCGGGAAGTACAATTTTATTCAAAAGCTTCAAAACCAGTGAAAACCAGATACTGAAAAACTTCTAAATGAGCTAAGTCTCCTAGGGGGAAATGGTGAACAGAAGTCAGATTCTATTAAAATGGCCTCTTCCTTTCTAAAAGCTGTTTATGCAACCACATACAAGACAAAAATTTGAATGGCATCATCTAAAAATAAAACTTTCAAGCATGCTACTGGGTTCTAGTTTACAAGAAAAACAGTTAAATCAACCATAACTGCTACTTTATCTTACAAATGTATTTTCCTAAATTTTATGCTAAATATTTTAAATATAGCTGACAGTGTGCTTCAAGAAGCAGAAACAAGTTATACATATAACAAGATGTCCAAAATGAATAAAAGCATCTCGAAAATAAAATTCCAACAGCAGAGGCAGCCCTGAACCTCTCAAAATAGCTTAAAGAAACTTGGTAGCAAATCTACTTCATCAGATGTTTTAAAGAATAGAGAAGAGTTTATCTGGGGGGAAATCCAGACCAAAAAACTAAATATTCAATGAAAACTAAAGCTGCAACTGGTATTGCTTCTTCAGGATTAGCATTTACGCCTTTGCTGAGTTTGAGGCATTTGTAATCTCCCCCACCCCCTTCCCCAACTCATCCTTTTTCTTCACCATGAACTATCAACCGAGCTAGTTAGACCTTGAACCTGTTACAATTGGCAGTTTGCCAAGACATTTCTTTTCTGTTTCAATCAACAAGATGTACCTTTCTTTGTTCATGATTTTCTCAGGCAGCCTTTTTTTTTAAATGAAATTTCTTTCTTTCTAGTATTTTCTCTTCCGCTTATTTTTCTAGAGAAAATGTAACTTTCTTTCATCAGTTAACTCCACTGAGACCCTTACCTCATGCTTGTCAGGAGCAATGAAGTTCAGTTGGCAGTTTGAGTCATACAAGATGGAAAAAGCAAGTTCAAGCACCTCCTATAAGAGATTAGGGAAAAGATCACATTTAGCGAAAACTGGCACATTTGTTCTGCAGTTACAAATGGCTGGAGACTGAACATGGAGCAGGACCACAGTATGTACAGACGAGAGGAGCAGGGATGAGGCTGAACAGAGGGAAGGCCGTGCTTTCCGAGAGTCACAACACGATTGCTTCTCTCCGTTCAAGGGAGGTGCTCCGCATGAACCATCTGTTTTAATTCTCACGACAGCCCATGTAGCACGTATTATCATTCCCTTTTATAAGCAGAGGCTGAGTAAGGTTACATGAGCTCTCCAAGGCCTCACAGCTCCAAGCTGTGCAACTCTCCTCTCTTCGTCATCTCCCTTCCAGGGAGGCCATGAAAAACAGTAACGCCCTTCCCAGTCAGAGGTTGTAGGTGGTTGAGTGGTAGAATTCTCTCCCTCCATGTGGGAGACCAAGGTTTGATTCCCAGCCAGTGTACCTCATGTTCAGCCACCACCCACCTGTCAGTGGAGGCTTGCCTGTTGCCATGATGCTGAATAGAATTCAGTGGAGCTTCCAGACTAAGATGGACTAGGAAGAAAGGCCTGGCAAGCTACTTCTGAAAATCAGCCAGTGGAAACTCCATGGATCACAATGGTCTGATCCAGCCTTTTGACCCACTGTAAATAGGGTTGCCATGAGTTGAAGTTGGGGGCTGACTCAACAGCAAAACAGATAACCCCAGGGATGTAAACTTTTCAAAACATGGAAGCGACATGGGAGGTAATGAGGCTTCTGAGTGAACCTATTATCTTTAGGTATATTGCCAGTCCTTTCTTCCTAGTCCATCTTAGTCTGGAGGCTCCACTGAATCCTGTTCAGTATTATAGCAACATGCAAGCCTCCACTTATTGATGGGTGCTGGCTGAGCATGAGGTTCATTTGTCTTGGGCCTTTGACCTACTGTAGAACAAAGGCTGCACAAAACCTAGATTTTATCCTATAGAGGCCGCAGGGTATAACAAAGAAGCATAGACTTGAGTGTCAGAATTCCTGGGTTCACTCACCGAGTGCAGACTATGAGCCAGGCCCAAAGGACTAGGTGACACTTCTAGTTCATTGTAGCAGAGTGATCTTAGCCAAGGCACTCATCATCTCTAACTTGTATGTTAAAATACACCTCTCCATTTGTACACCTCTGCATCAATACTGGGTACAGTGATCATTCTACTGATCTGATCAGTCAGCAGAGAACAACCTTTGGACAATGACAGCCATCAGTACAGCTCAACACCCTTAAAAAAAAAAGCCAATCCAGTTAATTCTGATTCATGGTGACCCCATGTATTACAGAGTGGAACTGTGCTCCATAGGGTTTTCGAGGCTGTGACCTTTTGGAAGCAGATTGCCAGGCCTTTGTTCTGAGGCATGTCAGGGTGGGTCTGAACCACCCACCTTTTGGTTAGTAGCCGAGCACTTAACAGTTTGTGCCATCCAGGGACTCTTCTCATTACTCTAATGGCTCCGAATTTGGAGGAGAAGGGCCAAATGTATTCACATCAGTGTGCTGCATCATTGTAACATGTACATTCCAGCCTACCTTCCTTCTCTGTGCCTTAATTAGGCACCACTTATGTCCAGCCCCCTCCTCCTGCTGTGATCTGGGAGGGAGTGCTCAGTAACTGCCCACAAAGCACTCTGTCAGGGAGGCGGATCTCCCCACAACGTTCTCTTCCTTAGAATCTGTCAGAGGTTTTGGCTTTGGCCAGTGACGCGCAGCAAGAATGCCCCAGAAAAGACATCTAGGTCAACTGGCATAACAAAGCTTATTAAGAAAATGTTCTGCATCCTGCTTTGGTGAGTGGTGTCTGGAGTCTTCAAAGCTTGCAAGCAGCCATCTAAGATGCATCAATTGGTCCCAACCACCTGGAGTAAAGGAGAATGAAGAACACCAAAGACACAAGGAACGTAATAGCTCAAGAGACAGAAAGGGCCACATAAACCAGAGACTCCATCAGCCTGAGACCAGAAGAACTAGATGGTGCCCGGCTACCACCAATGACCACCCTGACAGGGAACACAACAGAGAATCCTGGATGGGGCAGGAGAAAGGTGGGGTGCAGAACTCAAATTCTGGTAGGGAGACCAGACTTAATGTCTGACTCAGACTGGAGGTAACCCTGGAAAGCACGGCCCCTGGACTCTCTATCAGCAGAACTAAAACAATTTCCGAGGCCAACTCTTTAGACAGGGATTGGACTGGACTGTGGGACATAAAGTGATACTCGTGAGGAGTGTGCCTCTTAGCTCAAGGTGATACAAGAGACTAATCGGGCAGCTTCTGTCAGGAGGTGAGATGGGAAGGCAGAGAGGGTTAGGAGATGGTTGAATGGACATGGAAAATCAGGGGTGGAAGGGAGGAGTGTGCTGTCACAGTGTGGGGAGAGCAATTAGAGTCACATAACAATGTATGTATAAATTTTTGTATGGGGAAAAAAAAAAAAAAAAGAATGCCCCAGAAAGAGGACAAGAGGCAAAAAGACGAGGTGAATGCCACCAGATTTCAGAATTTCAGATGGGTTAAAGAATTCTTCCAAAGTGAACTCGGGAGGCCCAGGGTTAGCCGGATGCCTCATCGGACACTGTCAACCATCAAGCTATTTCTGGCTTTCATGGGGTTCGTCTGTCTGGCTCGCCTCCAGCTGTCCCTTCATTAAGAGGGAGCAGCTCTTGTTCTGAGGTTTCCATCTACCACCATCTCATATCTTGGCCTCCTTGCCCTGCCAGAAATAGAAACAAGGCAGGCAAGAATGCTGAGTCATGGAGTGGGAGTTCTGCCGCAAAAATACCCCTCATCGTTTTCCACTCTTTTTCTTCCTTGAGCCTTCATTCAGGCATTGCCCAGTGAAGATGGCTAATGTAAAAAAGAGAGCACACCAACACGCACGCACACACGCACACACACACACACATACACACACACACACACACACAACTTTTCCATTCAGTTTGGCATCTGTATCTATAATCATCTATCTTGGGTCTTCTAATTTATAATCAAAATAGTCATGGCCCTGCTAAACTCTGTTGCCATGGAGTCGATCCCGACTCATGGCGACCCCATGTGTTTCAGAGCAGAACTGCAGTCTATAGGGTTTTCAGTGGTTGTAATCATATAGATTGCCAGGCCTTTCTTATGCAATACCACTGGGTGGATTTGAACAGCCAACCTTCCGGTTAGTAGCCAGGTGCAAACCATTTGCACCATCCAGGGATCATCATGGGCCTGCCAGCGGCACCATAAATTGGTATCATCCTTTTGAAAAATTAGTAAGGTAATACATATCAAGAACCAGGGATCCCATTCCTCGGCATTATTGCTAAAAAAAATATTTCAAAGAATGCCAAAGCTGTATGTTATTATCTATAAGAACATATTATCTATAAGAACATAACCTATTAAGAAACCAATTAAATGTCCTCCTTCCTTTGGCTAAACCATTAAATAAATCACAAATTAGTAACCCGGAGAAATATATTCAGCCAGCTATTCATTATGATAATTATGAAGATATGATCTTAAGTGAAAAAAGCAGTCTATAAAAGTACTATATACATACTGATCACAATGATAAATAATGGAAGCAAATATGTGAAATGAAAATACCTACGTTAAGGTGCTAGGATAATAAGTGATTATTTTTTTCTTTCCAAAAACTTAAAACACTTTTTTCAATAAAAACTTATGCTCTAACGTCATAAATCCATAAAAGTTGCTCTTAGATTAGCAAGGTTGATATACATAATGATTTCTTTACTAATTTTAGTATCACTCCTTAGGAAAATTCTCCTTATTCTTGGGAAGATTGTTTCGGGAGGCAAGGAGAGAAAGAAGAGGACAGGCTTGTCTTTTGAATAACCAGTCAGTATAGTATAGCAAATGGATAACGAGCTTGGCTACTGACTGAAAGCTTGGAGTTTCGAGTGTACCCAGAGGCGCCTTGAAAGAAAGGCCTGGCAATCTGCTTCTGAAAAATCAGCCACTGAAAAGCCTATGAACAACAGTTCCACTCGCACACACGTGGGAATGCCAAAAAGGAAAAGGTGAAATTCATGAAGGACTTTCTGGGCCGATGACAATTGCTGCTTTACTTAGGAAAATCACACGGCTGATTATTCTCTTCCTAATGACAGCCGGTATGAACACCACCAGAGCCCAGGCACATCCTCTTGACTAGGTGCTGACATCGCTTGAGACCAGAGCATCAATGTGGTTATTGTGGTGACACTTTCTCTCCTGCAGGGTGGTGGGAGAAGGGAGGAGGGTGAAGGGAGGGCATGAAACTTGGCTTTGCCCTTCTATGGCATATACCACTCAAGACTTGAGTGGTTGGAATTGTCACGGCCTAGATTACTGATAAACACAGGCAGGAAATGAGAAATTCATAAAAATGTCAATCCACACTTTAATTTCACCAAGACTGGTTGGGAGGGGGTGGGAGGAATTAATTCTCTGCACTGTACACCTGTGTTAAAAGGTGCTAGCACTTATAATGGGTTTTACTGATGTCTCTGGCTTGCTGTCTTTGAGTCCTGTATGAAGGTCAGCTCGTCAGCACTTTGGGCAGGGAGGCTGTGGAGCCGGAGGCGATGGCATCGCTCAGGCTAACACTCCAGAAGCTGCCACCTGTCCACACTGTCCATGAGGTAGAGAGGTGCCAGGTGGTGGCAGAGTAAGCATCATGGATCTGGGGCAGTGAGCTCTGCAGGGGCTTCTTGTCACACACCACAACACTCACTCAGACTCCCGAGGCTCTGGGGCTTTGCTACTTATTACTGAAGGTCTTTCGTTCCCTCTGGATTTACTTCAGTGAAAAATCATATCCAAGAGCAGCTTGTCTCATCCTCTGTTCCACTGACTCACACCTGCCACCTCTCCATGTGGAAGAAGGCAGGGGTAGACTGAGTCTAGGGGAGAGGAAAGAACAGGAGAACTGAATATCCCTCAGTGCCTTTACTGGTGCCTCTGCCT